TGTTTTTTTTTTTTTTTTTTTTTTTTTTTTTTTTTTTTTTTTTTTTTTTATGTGTTTTTGGTGGACAATAGAGGAACGTAATCTAACAGGGAAAAAATACAGAATCATAATAATAGTAATAATAACATTATGTTATGTGAATTTGTGAATTGTGACGGATTTTTGTATTCAGATTACTAAATACATACCGTGTTCATACTCATTTTTGTTCTGTTTTCAATCTTGGATATGAAATTAAGAAACCGTTGAATATGCATTAATTAACACACCTCTCAATCAATTTAGATCCAAGGATTACAACATTCATTGAATTAACCAACGGAAAGACCAAGATCCGAACATGATGAAGGAATTAGAGAGGAGTAGATCTGAACTTGAAGACCAAAAACATGTACATGACGAAATGTGGGGCTATGTCGTTCGAACGATCATAACATAGTCAATATCGGTTGATCTCGATCCAACGAAAACAAGAGAAACTTGGAAGTTTTTTTAAAACGCGTAAGAGAAAAACGAGACCTGATATTGATGAAAAGGTATTCCAAATGAGCTTTAGTCGGTCACAACTCACAATGGCTGCTCAATAATTCATGTACATGCATACAAGAAGGGAAAATAAATTATTGATAAATTGCTTCTTCTCAAAAGCATGGCCCACATTATTTATTTATTTATTTATTTTATAAATCTTTTCATTTTTTTTTTAAATGTCTCGTTGCAACGAAGATAGTGTCTTTAAATTATTAGTATGATATTGTCCATTTTACACATACGCTCTCACTCTCGAATAGTCTCGAAATCTCTGTACACAATAGATTCAATAATCACTATTATTGTGTACTCTAAGAAATATGACAAAACCAACATGTGTTCATAAAAGTGGACAGTGGTACTTCAAGACGGTTGGTGTGACCACAGTCCTAATCGACTAATTAAATACAAGATCGTAAGTATATTATCGAGGATTGTTGGGAGGGGAATCCCATGTCAGCTAATTAAAGAAGTAAAGTCATGAGAGCTCATGCTCAAAGTGGACAGTATCATACCATTGTGGAGGGTTTGTGGTTCTTAACATCGTATCAGAGACATGCCTTTTACTCCTATTTTTGTTCGAGGGCTCTAGATAAGAAGTCAAGCGTCGATTAAGTGGAGGTTGTTTGAGGGTGAGAGCTTATGCTCAAAGTGGACAATATCATACCATTTCATGCCATTGTTGACAGAGTCCTTAACATTCATTGAATTCGACGCATGATGACCTTAATATTCCACTGCATCCCCTACAACAAGGTAAGGTTACTTATTTCTCGCTCTTAAAAATGAAGACTAATATTTTAATTATGTAGGGAAGTATTCACGTGTGTTTATTTAATAAATACTTAAATTAAATTTTATCAAAATATAAATAATTAAATTATATTTACACAGTAAAATAAATTTATATTACAAAAAAAAAAATATATTACAATAATTATAATAAATATAGCAATGAAAAAATGGGTTGTTCAGTAAAAAATACTATAAAATAAGTTTCCTTAAAATTAGATTTTATTATTAATTTTAAAATATACATTTTTCTTACCCTATAATTATATTTATTTATTTTATGAAATTTATTTATTTAGAAGGTAAAATTGAGTGATAAATCTCAACTACATTCCAGCCAATCCAACTCAAAAGATTTATGATTAAGTTCCGCTGAGTTTAGTTTATTATTTACTAATAGTTATTTGGGTTAGAAAAAAAATTTCAATCCAAATAATTGGGTTAGGTTTAAGAAATGCCCAGACGTGAGCAAACCAACTCATAAACATTGAAAAGGTAGAAAATACGGTGAAATTTCGAGCAGTTCGATTTCTTGAAATTTCGAAAATTGGATCATGACAGAATGTTATTAAAGCTAGAGGCTAGATGATACGATAGCAAGGACGTTAGACCTGCAAAGAAGGTGGATTGTGAGATCCCACAAGACACATTTTAAAATTGTAAGGTTGATGACAATACGTAACAAGAGTGATTTTAAAATTCTGTTAACAGTGGGCTTGAACCGTTACAAACGCTCTCGTGGAGAAGTTAAGACATAAAGAGTGATTTCTTTTGCTCCTATTATTCAATATTTTTTTATTATTCAACCAAAAACAAACTTAGTAAAGGAGTGATCATGGTGACCCTATGAATGAGAGATACCAGGCATGTTAGAATGACTAAAAAAAGGCTTAAAATAGTTGAAAGTTACTGCAAATATCAATAATGTGCACTGTATTATTTGGTGGCTCAATTATGAGAAATCTAAAATTAAATGTGGATCAATTTTATGTCGGGTGAAAATTATATCTGTTTTCTTTAGTAAAATATATTAAAAATTGATCGGAGGATATTTTGTTTAAAGTTCAATTAAAATCTGATATTCATTGTCGTAAAGGCGAGAATTAATCTCTATGATTTCATAAAACCTATATAAATAGTTTCTTTTACGTAGTACATATTTCTAATAGCAGCAATAATTTAATTTAAATCAAGTGAAGTATGAAAGTAGTTGTTAGTAGTAATTAGGTTATTTTCAACTCAATCATTTAACCCATATTATAACGTTAAATTTGTTAAGTAGTAATAATAATAATAATAATTTTTAGGTTAAAATTCAAAAATTAAACTTTAGGAGTAGAATTGAAACCTTAAATATAATCGAAGAATGTGAAAAATATTTAAGAAAAATGATATAGCTAATATGAACATATCTCAACTGATAAAATATGTACCATCCATCGAGTTCGAATCTCTCACCCTCTATAACAGTCCAAGGCCATCGCTAGTAGATATTGTTCGCTTTAATCTATTGAGTCTCACAATTTAAAAACGCGTCTATTAAGGAGAGGTTTCCACACCCTTATAAGAAATGCTTCGTTTTCCATACGGGACTTCACAATCTACTCTCCTTAAGGCTCAACACCTTCGCTAGCATATCGTCCAGTGTCTGACTATGATACCATTTGTAAGAGCCCAAACTCACCATTAGTAGATACTATCCGCTTTAACCATTTATGTATCGCCGTGAGCCTCACGGTTATAAAATGTGTCTACTAAAAAGATGTTTCCACACCGACCTTATAAAGGGGTCTCACACCCTTATTTTAAAAAATCGATATCAAGCTATTTCTCTCCTATTAAGAAGATGTACCAAACCAAATATAGCCTTTATTGGAAGGAAGTGGTGGGAAGGTTGCAATGCATTAGAAGCATGAGAGAGTGAAGTTACAAAAGTCCCCACACCAATAATTTATTTCTCTATTGTCTCGTAAATTTTCAACATCCATTCATAGCACTTCATACCAAGTGTTTGTTTGTTTCCCAAACATACTAATGGATGATAGCATTCAATGTCATTCAATTCATATATTAACCACAAAACTTTCTTAAAAGCATTCATAAATCTATCAATTATGTTCATCATAATATAAAATGATATTAAAGAAATTTTAAAAAAAATCATTCCAATTCACGTTGAATTACATTGATTGAAATTTCATATACACATATAGGAGGTATATTTTATGACATATATAGGAGGTATATTTTATGTGTAGTCATGAAGTAGTGTAACAGTACAAAATGCTCAAATCCTTCCTGATTTGAGAGCTATAGAGCTAAAAATACCAAAATCCTTCCGAATTTGAATTTGAACAAGTTCAAATGAGAGCATACAAAGTGTAAGAGAGATTCAAATGAGCTATAGGTACACTGATTTCAAACATTTTAATCTGACAAGATAAACTTGTGTGAGAGAAGCCTACAAATTTTTTTCTTAGTTATTAATTTCGTTCAACCACTAGCAAAAATGTCTGAAATTTATATGTATTATGATAAATTCTTAATTTTAGTATTTTCCTACCTCATTCATTGCTTTAGTATTTAAATATATAATTCCTTTTTTTTTTTCCTAATACTAAATCAAAGTAATCGATAAACTTTTCAATAAACTCATTCCCTTCAAATTAATCTCCAAAAATATAATAAGATTATGACCATAAAAAATGTGATTGCTATGTTCAGTTTCCAAGACTATGTAGAACATACGTAAATTCTCGTATGAAGTATATATTCTTCATAGTCTATATCAAATTTGCACACAACGGCAGGAAACTGGCATTGGAAAATGGTGCAAGAAATGACCAAAAATACAGCCAAATGAAATGACAAATTTAGGTCTCATGAAGAATGCATATTTTTAATTGGTTTCAAAAATAATTATTATATATAATTGTAGTTTCAAAATATCAAAGAAACAGAGAGAGACAGAAATTTATTTACATCTCAGAATTCATGCATTTCTTCTTCTTTTTCATTCAAATTAGACTTTACAGTAGCGGTTTTGATCTCCAGATTCTGTATCAC